CAAGTTGCATGTTCTGAATAGCTTGTTCAATCTCCTGTCGTGTTATTTTAGAGTTCAGGATTGTCCTGTTTTCTTGTGACAATTTAGATAGTCCATTTTTGCCAAAAATTGTTTAATCTCAACTTCGTCTTGCGGCCCTTGGGTGTATAATTTTTAAAATATCTCTGGAAACACTTTCTAATATCCACTGGATTCTGAATGTTTTTCCATCAACCTCTAAGTTTGTAACCGTGTTTAATCTTTGTCTTCTCTTCAACTGCCAAGCTAGCAGTTTTCCACATTTATTCGCCGACTCAAACGTTTTTGTTTCATTAATTTAACCTTCCATTCAATTTCCTGATTTATCAATTTAGAATATTGTGTTTGATAGAGTTTAATTTCTCTCAGAGTTGGCTGTGACTTTGGATTCGCTCTTAATTTCTTCTCTAATTCTTTTAATTTGTCCAAGATCTTATCTTTTTCTCATTTTGTGTTCTTTTCTTTACTACATTCTGTTGTATCAAGAATCCCCTCATTACAGCTTTGCTTGCGTCCCAGACAATTCTTTTTCCACCGAATTGTTCATGTTTATCTCAAAATAGTCCTTCAAAACTTTTTGGGCCTTCTTGGTAATTTCCTGATCTCTAAACAAATTGTCATTCATCTTCCATCTAAAGGATCCAGTTGGTAGTAGTGTCATATCCATCTTTACTGCATTATGGTCAGAGCAGGTCTTTGGGCAGATTTCCACTTTTCTGACCTTAGGTGCCAGGCCTCTGGAAATCCATATTTGGTCGATTCTTGTCCAGGTCAGTTGGGCTTCAGAAAAGAATGTTCCTTCTCTACCTAGTGGGTTCTTTGTCCTCCAAATGTCAATCAAATCCATATTGTCAGTCATTTCAATAAAAGTTTTAGGTAGTCTGCCGTCTTTTGTAACATTTTGACTTTGTGACTTGTCCATGTTAGTTGACACGACCCCGTTCATGTCTCCCATCATTATGATGTTGTTGTAATCCAGATATTCCAGCATTGTCCCCTGCAGCTTCTTGTAAAATTCCGATTTCCCTTCGTTAGGTGCATAGATTCCTAATATCAACAGTTTCTCTCCTTGATATTGTATCTCAATGGCCAAAATTCTTCCATGTTCATCTTTAAATAAGAATTTAGGTGACAGGCTCTCTTTTGCATATATCACCACGCCTCTCTTCTTAACTTTGTCCGACGAAACAAATTCCTGGCCCAATCTTTTATTTATTAACACTTTTCTGTGGAGCCTCGTCACATGTGTTTCTTGTAAACAGATAATGTCCAATTGTTCTTTTTTAATATATGAAATATTTTCTTCCTTTTTACGGAATGTTACAACCATTAATGTTCCAACTCAGCAATTGCAGAGACATCCTGGATCTATCTGGTTATTTCTCCAGGGGTGGTGTCTTCTCTGGATCTTCAGGTTCCCCAGGTGCTGGTGTTAATGCTGGCTTTGCCCCAGGCCCAGAAGGTAATTCAATTCCTTTTTGAAGGTCCTCTCCGTATGTAGCCAAAAATTTGTCTCTCTCTTCCAATGTTCTAACTTTGACCTTTCTCCCTTTAAAGGTAAAAGATATTCCTTGGGAAATTCCCACCTGAATGGAATTGCGTTGCTCCTTAGTAGTTTAGCAAGTTCAGAATAGGCGGCTCTAAGATCCAGCAGTTGTCTTGGAATATCTTTATAAATTTCAATTCTTCTGTCCAAAACCTCCAGTGACTTTCCGTAATGTAGGCCCAAAATCTTATCCCTTTCCTCCTTTGATCTCAATGTAATCAAACAGTCTCTGGGCCTCTCCTTCTTTGTGAATCTTCCAAGTCTGAAAGCCGACACAATTTTAAAATCCTTTTCTTCCAAATTCCAGAACTTGGAAAATTCTTTGGTCAAAAACTCAGTTAAATTTCCTTCTTCTGCCTCTTGTAATGATCTAATCCTCAAATTATTCTCACGATTTCGCAGTTCTATCATGGAAAGATAAGTCTGATGTTCCCCAACTTGTTTGGTGAGTGGTCTTACCTCTTGCTCTAAATTTTCCAATTTTTGTCTAGTATCCTCAGCCAATTTCCGATTTTCTGCTGAGGCCTCCGTTAACTGTCCAATTGCTTGTGTATTCTGTACAACTTGTATGGTTAATTTATTTAGACATTCTGTATTTTTGTCAATCTTTGCTGATTGCGCATCTACTTTCTTGTCCAAAGCTTCCAATTTTTCAAAGATTTTGTCTAGAACAGAAACAGATACTCCTGAGGCCATATCTTCCAATTGTAACTGCTCTGCTTCACCCTCTCCCTCTTTTGCCTGTGGCAAGGCAACTTCTTCAAGTTCTACTTCTGAGGGCAAAGTAGGTACAGATGATCTACGTGTCTGCGAGGCTGAGGTTAGAGTTGTTAAAGTTGTTTGTCTAACTCTCCCTCTTTTCCTTGTGCCACTCATTCCAACGTTGTCTATCAGTCAAGGTCACACTGAGTTTTTCCCATGGGAATAGAAAGGCCCAGAGCAAGCAAACAACAAGGGAATCGAAAGTAAATGTAAATGTAAAGTCACTGTTTTCATCCAATCCTCTAGAGGGAGCTTAAAATGTCTTTCAGAGTCTAATTTAATGTCCAAGAACCTTCAAATATAAATATTTAGCAGAGTTTATAAGTAGTCACTTTGTTACAGACAGTGCTTATTTATCTCCAAAAGAATGTTTCAAATTTAAAAAGTCTCAATACCCTCAGATTGTTGCAAGTTCCAATATACAGTATCCAAATCTGCAATACTGACAGCTCAATTTCTCAATGCTCAGGCAGCTCCTGACTCTGGGTTTCACCTTCTAATTTGTAATCCAATAAAAGGGGAAAGTCAAGTGCAAGTTAAAATTCCAAGTCTTTAGCTTAAAGTCTTTACTTTAAATTGCAAGTTCAGTAGATGCTTAGATCTGTAAAGTTTAAAATCTCTTCCTTTCAGCCTCCACTCCTCCAACTTAGTTGCTTTTTTCAAGTTCAATGGCTGCGGAAGACGGACTTCCTGTTTCCACGTCTCTCCGCTTTCAGCCAAGTTCAAGCCAATTTAAGGTTTTTCATTTAAAGTCTCTGATTTCAAGTGATTCAGTCTTTACTCACGAGTAAGTTGCTTTTCGTCCGAATCCGTATTTTAGCAGGAAAAAGGATCAGCGCTCACCGGCAGCAGCAGCGCGGCTTCACTCCGCAGACTGTGAAGCAGCTCTCAGCGCCGCAACCCCCCTCCACGCTCCGGAGCCCCTTACGAGGTTCCTTCTGCGTTTGGAGGGTCACTTAAGCGCCCACCGAGCCTCAAGACCCCAAGCTCTTGCTGCCTGGGGTTTTCCGGAGTGGGTCTCCGCTTCGCCGTAGCGGACGACCCGTTTTCTGCGGAGCCTCCTCTCCCGTTCAGAAGAGGACCGCCATTGCCGTTCGCGCCGCCCCTCGGAAGCCTGAGGTGACAAATTTTGGCCTCCCACAGAGCACCATATTACGAAAGATTACCACTTTGGGCGGCTTCCAACTTAACATAAAAACATAATATTATTTATTATTATTTATTAAATTTGTACACCGCCCTATGCCCGCAGGTCTCAGGTGCAGTTCACAGGATAAAAGCACAGTATAAAAACATAAAATACATAAAATAAAAGCAGCCTGATCGCTCTCCCCTTCCCCAACACATTTAACAAGGGACAATGGATGACAGTCGACCAAAGGCCTGGTTAAAGGTGAATGCTTTTGCCTGGCTTCATTACTGTATAAAGCTATACAGTGGTACCTCAGGTTACATACACTTCAGGTTACAGGCGCCCCTAATCCAGAAATACTACCTCGGGTTAAGAACTTTGCTTCAGGATGAGAACAGAAATCGTGCTCCGGTGGCGCCGCGGCGGCAGCAGGAGGCCCCATTAGCTAAAGTGGTGCTTCAGGTTAAGAACAGTTTCAGGTTAAGAACAGACCTCCAGAACGAATTAAGTTCTTAACCCGAGGTACCACTGTACAGATGTTTTCTAAAGATCGTAGAGTTACTTATATCCTTGGCTGAGGGGGTCACATAACTCCACTGCTTTTTTCTGGTGGGATGCAGGGGTACATGTCCCCATAAACATTTTGTGAATCTAATAAGTTTGGCCTCATTGAGGGGCAGTATTTCAATATGAGTAGGAAAATGAGAGTAGCCCTAAATGTTTTTTTAGGAAAAAAGCACTGCATAACTCCATAACCTCTGACATATGCTGTCCAGGGTTGTAAAGAGTGCGGAGAGAATAATTGGGTGCACTCTTCCCACCTTGGATCAAATCTATGCTTCCAGGTGCCATAAGAAAGCTGCAGAGATAGTGCAGGATAGTACGCACCCCGGAAATGATCTCTTTCAGCTTCTGCCTTCTGGAAGAAAGTCTAGGGTTGTAAAGACAAGGACTAGACGCCTGAGAAACAGTTTCTATCCAAATGCGATTTTGGTTTTAAACGTAGTGTAAGGTAGTCTCTAGTAGTAAGGTAGTAAGTAAGTAAGTAAGTAGTAAGTAAGCAGTAAGTAAGTAGTAGTAGTAGTAAGTAAGGTAGTCTCTGATTGCAGCAAAACCTCATAGAGGTTTTTTTAAAAAAATAAAGAATACCAGTAAGATTATCACTAAGAGACAATTAAACAAAGGAATTTAAAAACACTGGAAAATGCATAAGAAGGAACAATGGGCTAAAAAAAGGATAAAAACACATGTAACTTCTCCGTGTCTGATTGACTTACCAAAACAAAAATATTTTAAGCAGGCGCTGGAAAGAGTGCTATGATGAAGGCGCCTGCCTGGTATCAATTTTCCAGGAGTTCCAGAGAGTAGGAGCCTCCACATTAAAATATTGATTTCTTGCAACTGTGGAACGGGTGTTGAGAGGGCACCTATGGGGCAAAGTGATCTTGTAGGTAAACTGGTCACCAGTTTTTAAGGAAACCAAGCCAGATGTGCGGGGTATAAATCATCATCATATAACACCTTGGGTTTGGCCTGTCTGTCTGGATAGCTCGGTTGGCTAGATTGTGGCACTGATAACGCCAAGTTTGCAGGTTCAATCCCTGTATGGCACAACTGAGTATTCCTGCATTGAGGCACTAAGACTAAATCATCCTCAAGGTCCCTTCCAGCTCTGAGTCAGTCATTCATTTATTCATTCATTTATGTTGCAATACATACAGTCATAGGGACACGGGTGGCGCTGTGGGTTAAACCACAGAGCCTAGGACTTGCCGATCAGAAGGTCGGCGGTTCGAATCCCCACGATGGGGTGAGCTCTCGTTGCTCGGTCCCTGCTCCTGCCAACCTAGCAGTTCGAAAGCATGTCAAAGTGCAAGTAGATAAATAGGTGCCGCTCCAGCAAGAAGGTAAACGGCGTTTCCGTGCGCTGCTCTGGTTCGCCAGAAGGGGCTTAGTCATGCTGGCCACATGACCCGGAAACTGGACGCCGGCTCCCTCGGCCAATAAAGCGAGATGAGCGCCTCAACCCCAGAGTTGGCCATGACTGGACCTAATGGTCAGGGGTCCCTTTACCTTTACCCACCCCATTGGAAGGCGGTGGACTCTCTATGATCCTGTTCTCACACTGCCCCAAAAAGAAACCTGCAAGCAGGATTCAAGCACAAAAGCATTTTCTCTCCTCCTGTGACTTCCAACCACTCTTATTCAGGAGCCTTGCTGCCTCTGGCCTCTGGCAAATCTGAATGCTGGAAGACCTTTATCTCGGTTGGCTTCCGAACTGGATTTTAAACTACTTTTATTTTTACATATGAAAGCATTCTTAATTGTTCTAATTGTGGAACCGGGTAATTATCTTTTACTTCTGATGCTTTTTATTGCGAAACTGCCTCCAGATATTTTATGGCAAGGGAGTCATAAATGGAATGAAATAAGGTTCAGGGTAGACAAGAGGAGGTACTCCAAGTCTGGTTAATCTATGGAAATCTCATGCCACCAATTCGTAAGGCATGTGCGAGCAAATTCAGCTGAGCCAGGCCGGACTGTCTAATTTAAGGTTTCCATCGATCTCCTCAGACAATTCAACATGCATGGGGACATAAGAAGAATTCTTCTCTGTGAATTTGTCTAGCCCTCTTTCAAAAGCTGGTGGCCAGCATTGTCTCTTGTGGCAGGGAGTTCCATGGATAAAACTATGGAAACACTTTGTGCTGATTCCTCTACAGTGAGCAGGAGCAGGGACCGAGCAACGGGAGCTCACCTCGTCGCAGGATTCGAACCGCCGACCTTCTGATCAGCAAGCCCTAGGCTCTGTGGTTTAACCCACAGCGCCACCCGCATCCCCAATGGGAAGGGTACAGAGGCCATAATTATACCCACTATGACAAACGCAGCTGCGCCATTAGGATCCAAACATGCCAAAATCCTGCTGGCCTTTTTTTTTAATGTATACAGTCGTATCTTGGAAGTCGAACGGAATATTTATGTATGCAACTACAGCAGCAAGGTTATTGATTGCCAAAAATTGGAAAAGCAGCAGCGTCCCAACTAAAACAGACTGGTTATCTAAAATGATGGAATACTTCCATATTGCCGAACTAACAGGGAGTATAAGAGGAGATATGGTACAAAAAGTGAATAAGGAGTGGGCTATTTTTAAGGAATACATCAAAATTTGTGTGGAAAAAGTAGAATTTCTGACAGATACTGAGTGAATCCAGAAAAGGATTAGAGTGAAAGGAGAGTAAAGTCAAGACAGAAGAAGAGATTAAAGAAATAATGAAATGCGTTTAAGCTAGTTGGGAAAATAAAGTTGCATAACAAGAACGGCTGGAAGTCAAGTCACTTGGTGGGTGTCTGTGTGGGGTAGGTGTGTAGGTATGTTGAAATGTACAGTATAGGTAGGTATTATATAGAGTAATGTAGTAATGTATTATATAGAGTAATGTAGTAATGCTTTATGTTATGAAAATTAGGTAATGTGTTGTGTATGTGTATTGTGTAAATGTATATGTATGTGTTTTATATGTTAATTTTTTTAAAAAAAAAAATATTTAAGGAAGTCGGAACGGAATCTGTTCTGGAAGTCCGTTCGACTTCCAAAACGTTAAGAAACCAAAGCGTGTCTTCCAGCTGGCTGCAGGAGGCTCCCGCAGCCAATCAGAAGCCCCGTCGGACATTCGGATTCCAAAGAACGTTCACAAACTGGAACAGCCACTTCCGGGTTTGCGGAGTTTGGGAGCCAAAGCGTTCGAGGGATCCAAGGTCCTTCTAAAACTGCTGATTTTTAATTGGAACATTTTCAGGGAAGCGTTTTCTTGACACCTGATTCCATCAGCGTTTATAACGTGTGTATTACGTTTTGTGTAACAGCTTAGAGGTTTTGATCAGAGGTCGGCAAGGCTTACCGGACATGGGCCGGATCACTCCTGTGGAGATCCTCCGTGGGCCGGGCCAGCGAGCGCGCCGCCGGAAATCACTTCTGCGCATGCCCAGACGCCGGAAATCATGCCTGCGCAGAAGCAATTTTTGGCGTCTGGGCATGTGCAGAAGCAATTTCCAGAGCCGTGGAAGAGCGGGCAGCTCGGGGGCCGGTTAAGCAGCCCTCATGGGCCGCTTCTGGCCCATGGGCCTTAGGTTGCTGACCTCTGCTTTTGTGTTGTTGATTTTTTGGATATATCTTTATTAATTTAAAATAAATGCATTTATGAAAAAACAGACGGACAAACAAGTAAACAAACATACAGTCAAACAAACAAATAACAGAAGAATCAAACAAACCACCGCACTATAAGATACAACAAGATTAATATAACTATCATCATAGATACTCCTGGTACTGAAAACAATTATAAAACTTATAGAGAAGAAAATTAAAACTGACTTCCAATTAATCTCACTGTACTTTTATCTATCCATTACTTTTTACCGCACAGTTACATATTTCTTATATAGTTTCTTTTTACCTCCCTACGAACTTCTATTTATACAATACAGGGACCAGCCTAATTCTGCCAAGATGTTTCCTTTTAGTCCATAGTTTTCTAAAGATTCTTTAAAGATTCTCCAATCCTTATAGACTTTTTGTTTTGGCTGGCCTCTTACTCTTCCTGTCGCTTTCGCCAGCTGCAGATATTCTACCATTAGGATCTGCCAATCTTCCGTGTTTTTCCAATTTCTTGCTACTAAAATTCTGGCCGCCGTTATTCCGTACATGAACAATGTTCTTTTGCTGACCTCTGCTTTTGATGATGAAGCATTGCGTAAATCCTATATAATTAAAAATTAAATTGCTGCCACCCGCAAATGCCTTTCATCTAGAAAGCTAGCATGTCAGGGACAAACCGTGAGCTCCCTGATATCACCATGAGCAGAAAAGCAGAATTCATAGGAGAAGACAAACAATCTTCTAATCACCAGTAGTTAACAAATGAGCCAGCTATGTAATTTACAGAGCTTCTGGCAAGGAGAAATTGCATTAATAAGGCTCTTGGAAGATGCTCAGGGGAGAATACCATTGCATGCTCACTCTTATGCGCATGTCCCTGTTCTACCCATGTGTGAGTTCCTGTGTCCCAGTGGATTGACAGGAATCTGCAACATAGGATTATAGAAACAGCAAACAGTCTTTGTTGTTGTTGTTTAGTCGTGTCCGACTCTTCGTGACCCCATGGACCAGAGCACGCCAGGCACTCCTGTCTTACACTGCCTCCCACAGTTTGGTCAAACTCATGTTGGTAGCTTCGAGAACACTGTCCAGCCACCTTGTCCTCTGTTGTCCCCTTCTCCTTGTGCCCTCCATCTTTCCCAGCATCAGGGTCTTTTCCAGGGAGTCTTCTCTTCTCATGAGGTGGCCAAAGTCTTGGAGCCTCAGCTTCAGGATCTGTCCTTCCAGTGAGCACTCAGGGCTGATTTCCGTCAGAATGGAGAGGTTTGATCTTCTTGCAGTCCATGGGACTCTCAAGAGTCTCCTCCAGCACCATAATTCAAAAGCACCCATTCTTTGGCAATCAGCCTTCTTTATGGTCCAGCTCTCACTTCCATACATCACTACTGGGAAAACCATGGCTTTTACTATACAGACCTTTGTTGGCAAGGTGATGTCTCTACTTTTTAAGATGCTGTCTAGGTTTGTCATCACTTTTCTCCCAAGAAGCAGGCATCTTTTAATTTCGTGGCTGGTGTCACCAAACAGTCTTACTACACCATAAAGACTTAACAGGTAGGGTGGATTTGATTTCAATCAAATCAGTTTAAATCACGATTTAGATCAAGATTTGAAACACTAGTCAGTAAGGCTTGATTTAAATCACTAGTCAGTAAGACTTTATTTTAATCTTTTTTTTCCCCCAGAAAGACTCATTCTTGCTGGTGTAATTTTAATATTTAACAACCCGATGAAGGTTTCAATTTTTGGAATAATAAACTTTCAGAGTAGTTTTTACAGTAATATCAAAAATTACTGATTTGGTTATACTATAAGAAATACGTAGACAGATAATTATGAAATTATTGTTAGGTTTAATAAGTTAACTGTTTATATTTGGACAACTTTTCTGCTGTACTTTATTGGAAGGAGAAAAATAATCATTTCCTTAATAACAATTTTTAAAAATTATTTAACTAAAGCAATAACATAGCATCCATGTTTGTTAACTGATGCAGTTAAACAATTAATAAAAAAAAACTTAGACTGAGTTTTACCATACACATGAAAAACTTAAAACAACCCTTGTTTCCTGATGAATAGCCTTTGGACTATAATGTAACTTAAATAGAAAACTATCTTTAGAAAGATTTTTCCTCCTAAAGCATTTTATTTTAAAAATCTGATTTAAATAATAATAATTTAAAAATTAATTTATTTTTTTTAAATCATTGATTTTTATCCACCCTGTTACCAGGTTTCTTGTTGTTTAGTTGTGTCCGACTCTTCGTGACCCCTGGACCAGAGCACACCAGGCACTCCTGTCTTCCGCTGCCTCCCGCAGTTTGGTCAGACTCATGTTTGTAGCTTCGAGAACAGTGTCCAACCATCTCGTCCTCTGTTGTCCCTTCTCCTTGTGCCCTCCATCTTTCCCAACATCAGGGTCTTTTCCAGAGAGTCTTCTCTTCTC